CAAGACCACAAAATTTTTCTCCTAGATTTTCTTCTAGAACTTGGCGGTTTCAGGGTGTACGGTTAAGTCTACGATATATTTTGGGTTAAGTTTCCTTTTTTAATATGAATCAAAGTTTATTTTATTTTATTTTTTTGCACATGGATAACAAATTGTCAGCAAGACAATCTTTTCTCCATTGAATTACCTTTACATCCTTGTCAAAAATCAATTGACCACGTATGTGTGGGTCTATTTCTGGACACCCATCCTGCTCTGTTGATGTATTTGTCTTATCTTTACACCAGTGTCATCCTGTCTTGATTCCTACAACGTTACATTAAGTCTTGAAATCAGGAGCAGACAGTAGGAGTTGACCGACTTTATTCTTTGTCACTGCGCCCCACAAATATTGATATGTTGTGTTCTAATTTTATTTCAGTTCAAAATACATTTTAATGTCTCTTTTGACTTCTCCTTTGACCCATGGGTTATCTAGAAATTTATAATTTCCAAATATTTGAGAGTTTTCCAGAGTTTTTTTTTATTCCTAATTTAACTCCATTGTAGTCTGAGGACATACTTTGCATAATTCAAATCCTTTTAAATCAATTGAGACTTACTCCATTGCCCAGATGTGGCCTGTCTTGGTGTATCTGGAAAGTGTTCTGCTGCTTTGGGTGGAATGTTCTAGATATCAATTAGGTCGGGTTGGTTGTCCGAGCTTTCTGTATCTTTCCCGATTCTGTCTCCTTGGTTATCAGTTGTTGAGGGAGAAGTTGCTGAAATCTCTGACTGCCACTGGGGGTTTGTTTATTTCCCCTTTCAGCTTCATCAGTTCTGCTTCATGCTTTGTTAAACTCTGTTGCTGGGGACATGACCACACAGACCCCAGAGTGTGGGCTGGGCTGTGTTCCTGGCCTCTCACCCACAGGCAAACATTTGGGACAAAGCCAAGCATGTCAGTCCAGCGCCTTCCTGGTGGGGTGCTGGGGGTGTTCTTTCTTCTCTCACAGCCTCATCCCCCTAGGGGTGCGTGGGGCCTGGAAAGAGACCAGTGTCTAGAACCACCCAGGCCCTGCAAGTTAGACTCTGAGTGGGAGAGACCAGGAGAGCAGGCCAGGGAAGGGCTGGCCTCTGGATTTCAACGTCCCTTTCTGTGTTTCACGCTCTACTTGTAGCTCCTGGAAAAGTGGATCTTGTCGGAGAAAGAATGGGAGCGGGAGAAGGCCATGAACCTCCATCTCCACCTCATGCAGATCTACGTCCAAAGTGTCGGCGTCTGTGTGAGTCCAGAAGCCCCCTGCCCCCCAGCCTGCCACTCTGACACCCACAGAGAAATTTCTGTCTCTATTCATGAGAAGAAGAAATGCGTTTGAAATCAAGTCCTGCCCCCCGGAAGGGTCCCCTGGCAGGAGGCTGCCTCTTTGGGAATGGCAGAGGACGCTCTGGGAGGAGCTGGCCCTGGGCCCTAGGGTGGCGGCGAGGGATGGGGTGGGCGTGGTGTGGATCGGGTTTCATGGGGCCTGAGGTGCATGCAGGGGTGAGGCCACACAACTGTGAATACCACCTTGGTCAGGAAAGTGAGTATATACTTACAATGAGAAAATAAATCACTACCAAATCACACATTTTACAAAGCTTGATAAGCACCACAAGCATCACAACATCTGGAGAAGCAATGAGGTGTTCTGGCTGGTTAAGCAGCTGACACGGCTCCGCGAGCCCCTGTCGCCCGCGCTTGCTGGCGTCACACTCTGATGGTCTGGTCTTCAGGGACAGCGCGGGCAGGGTGGTGGTGTCCTGGGGCTGGGGTGTGGGGACAGGCCTCATGTCTAGGGTTGGTGCACTGTGAGAACAAGGTGGGCAGGACCCCAGTCCTGAGCACCTTCGGGGGGACCCAGGCCCAGCAAAGCAAGGCTGGGGCCAAGGCCAGTGCTAAGTAACATCTGAGGGCAGGTGCTGCGCAGAGTGCAGCGCCTCAGTTCTCTGTCGTGGCTCTCACGACGTTTCCTGAAAGAAGAGGCACCATTATCGCCTGTGATTGACAGACGCCTCTGATCTACATGAGGGCCGGAGGCTAAGCACCCAACCCAGGTCACACGGCGAGGGAGCGGGGATGCCCAGATTTGAAGCCAGTTCTCAGTCACAGGAACCAGGTGGGCGCCCAGACGCAGTACCTGGGCCCGAGGTCACAGGGGCGAATCTGAGCAGACTTCTTGGACCCTGGCTACTCGACCTCCAGGGGCGCAGCTGTGGGGCTCGGGAATGGAAGCTCAGGTGCAGGCAGGTGGTGGCAGCCTCCCCCTTCCCAGACAGGAGTGCTCTCAGAGCGCGTTTACCCTCTCTGGCTGCTGGTTACACTGCCTTTGGGCAGCACCACGTGTGCTTGGCTGGACAGAGGGTGTGAGCCTTGACGTCTTCTGTACTTCAGATCCCTCTGAAGCTGGGGCAGTTTGGTGCCCTGATTGGACTCGTCGCCCCATGCACCTGTGACTCGCACAGAAGAACCCGCATGGCCTCAGTGGACGTCCTGTCCCGCCTGCTGGACCTGCACGGTATGGGGAAGGCAGGTCATGAGAACCATCGTCTCCAGGCCGGGAGGGTTGACACCAGCGGCGTGGGCTATGGGGCTGTCTTGGGGTGGGGTATGTGGCCTCTCTGTGTAGACAAACAAGGGTGACCAGCAGGGATGGTGGAGGGGATGCAGAGCTCACTGAGAGGGCACGGAAGCTCCCAGAAGGAGAGGCTCATTTGGTCAGCTGACTCACTGAGGGAGTGTGCTGGGCACTGAGGAGCCCCACTGGACACGGTCAGCTCACAGACACTAAAGATGCAGAACTGGCCAGAGATGAACTCAGAGGAAAGCAGCGTGGTGGCCTCCAGAGGGGGAGAGCTGGCCTCTGGCTTGGCAGCTGGCGGAGCATCCGTCATAGGAGGATATCTCGGAGAGCTGGCGTCTGAGCTGTGCGGAGAGGTGGTGTGAGGGCAAGGCCGTAGGATAGGAAGTCCAGGTGCTGGGGGGCAGTCCAGGCCCGCGGAGCCAGGGCGCCCCGAGGGCTGGGGCAGGAGGCCGCCGTGATGCGGCCTGTGGCCCGGCCTTTGTCATGGCTGGTCATGCCTGAAATTGTATTCCCACCAGCAAGCCAGACCTGCTCCTCCTGGGATGCTTCCAAGGAGTTAGAGCTTGAGAAATGTAAGGAGGACCTGCAGGGCTCAGACATGGAGAAGATTTTCAGTGCATCCTTCAGAATCGCAAAGGTGACGAGCCAGCAAGGTTGTGTGGGCTGTGGTCTCTGGGTGCCTGGGCCACCTCTGGGTGACAGGACCTTGCTCAGTTCCACACCTTCATCTGGGGGTCACGGCTTCTACAGCCCTTGGCCAAATTCATGCCGTGTGTATTTAAATGGCCTGTAATATGTAAGGTCCCCATTGTGGTGCCTGGCACATAGTAGGTGCTTAATGGCCCCAGGCTGTCTTTGTCCCTATCATGTGCCACACTGAGGGTGGAGGGGGCCCTGGAAAGAACTGAACATGAGGCCCCACACCCAGGTGGTGGCACATGGGCAGGCTGATGGCGCACTGGTGACTGGAAGCGTCCAGAGCCGCCCACGCTCTAGGAGCTGCAGAGAGGCGAGGTCCCTCCTGCCTCACGGGGCAGAGGAGACTTTGTGGAGCAGAGCGGGTGTGCTTCGGCAGGACAGGTCAAAGGACGTGGGGGCTCAGGGCATACCCTGAGCAAAGGCTGCAGGGCAGCAGAGTCAGGACAGGGAGGGTTTGGGGAGAAGCTTCCTGTCCGGGGTTCGCTGGGGTAGGTGATGAGGTGAGGGAGAGGTTGGGGTGCCTCCTGGACGCTTTGAAGTAGGGGCTGGTGACTGAGACGGCCGGAGGCTGGGCTGGGAGGCGGGAGGAGGCAGTGGCAATGGTTTGAGGGAGGATGGGGGTCTGGGCTGGGGCAGTGATGTTGGACAGAAGAGCAGGGACGTCCGTGGTGACAGGTGGGCAAGGAGGTCCTGGGGTCCTGGCTGCCAGACCCCGGGAATGGCCTGCTCTGGTTTTAGGTGGCCTGCTCGCAGTTTAACTGCGATGAGGTGGTCTCACTCATCCGGAAACTCTGCGAGAACATCGGGGCCACGGAGCTGCAGCACGACAGGGCCTCCGCCGCCTGGATGGGCGCCTTCCTCCAGATGCGGGTCAAGGAGCTGGAGGACAAGGTGGCAGAGCCGTGGCCTGGTCACCTGGGGCCTGAAGCTGCCTGGTGCACCCAGCCTAGAGGGACGGGCAAGGGCCCAGCCTCACTGGCTGAGGGATCCCTCCTTCCCCGTTCCCCCCCGCCCCCTGTCCCCACCACCAGCCCATGGCTGTAAAGAGGAAGAGGAAGTAGCGTTCTAGAACAAGAAAGAGCACGTGGAAAGTAGCTCGGTCAGTAAGTGGATGGTGGGCTGGAGGCCCGAGGCTCTCTCTCCTCGACCACACAGCCTCCCACACCGAAAGTCTGACAAAATCCTGCAGGAGACTAGAGGATGCCACCTTGGAGGGGGTGCTGGTGGTTTAACCTACCCATTTTGGGCAAGAGTCCCGGAGGAGGGGTGTACAGTAGGTGAGGGCAGGCGGTCCACGAGGGCTGGGCTGATGCCCTTCCCCTTCCCAGGTGGCTGAGATCCTGGGCGCCATCCTGGTCCACCTGCCCGTGGTGGAGCAGCCGGAGGTGCGGCGCGTCCTGACTGAGGGCATCCTCCTGCTGGCATACCACCACCAGGAGACTGTGCTCACATCGCTGCTGCGGCAGCCCCTGCCCATGGAGAGGTGGGTGCCCTGGGGGGTGGGGGCCCAAGGCCTCCAGCTTCACCCAGTCCCTGCCCAACTCACCACCATCAACATGTCCCAGAAGACTTGAGTAGTGTCTTGTCTGACCCTGGGGCAGGTCAAACCCTCTTCCTGCATCGCCATGGGCGGTAGAGCTTCTGGGAACCTTGGACCTGGAGTCTTGATTTCACAGCTCCACCCTATGGAGCTGGAGTCTGGATCCCATAACTTTCTGCATCACCCTCTCTGGGCTCACGGAGGATTGAGTGGGGGACTGAGCTCGGGGCTGGATAAACCACAAGACGTGGCCCCCATGGCCCGAGCAGGCCTCTGGAGAAGCTCCATTCTGTCCTCCCTCCTTCCCCACCAAAGCCCTGAGAGTGAAGTGACTGGACCAGGTGCCCAAGGGAGGAATGACAGAGCCTTAGGCCCCTTAGGAGGCCTCATAGTAGAGCAGGGCAAACCCTCCTTCTTGAATACACAGTGTCCAGTCCTGGTGTCTCTGTCACAGTGTCGCACAGGCAGCTGGCAGGATCTCACCAGTTTGGGGGATGAGTATGTTGGTATGGTACTGGAATTCACTGGGGAGGGCCTAGAAAGAGCTGGGCAGGTGTTCCCAGATCAGTGGAGACCGAGGATCAAAGGGCAGCCTAGAGATTTGGTGGAGGGAGATGTGGCAGATGCCATGGAAGATGCTATGACCAGAGAAAAAGAGAGTTTTGAGCAAAGTCATCAGATCTAGAACCTCCTGGGCTGCCCTGTGTGAGATGCAGGCCTGGCTCCACCCTTGGGCGGTTTCTTGGAATGACAGCCCTGCCCTGGGTCCAGGTGGGAAGGTGGTACAGGTGGCTTGATTTAATAAGGGTTAGCCCCTCTTGGAGCAGTGCTGGGGTGGGGCCTCTGGCTGGCGTTTTTGGTGGTCATGTTATGCTGGCTTTCACTGTATTGGTTAGCTATTGCTGAGTAACAGATTGCCACCAACTTGGCATAATGGCTGTTTATCACCTCCCAGATCCTGTGGTCAGGACCGTGGGCTTGACTGAGCTGGGTCGTTTGCTCAGGGTCTCACAGTGCATCGAGGCATCGGTGGGCTGTCTTTCTTTCTGGAGCCCAGGTCTTCCTTCACGCTCATGTGGTTATCTCTTGAGTCATAGGCCTGAGGTCCCCACCTTCTTGTTTCCTTACACTCCCAGGGCTTCCTTCAGAGAAGCTGTTGCTAGTGAGTGTGCTATGCCCACCCTCCATTCAATTCTTGCCACCAGGCTCCCTGCCACACCCCCCCCACCCAAAAGTCACTTCCCTGCACCTGAGTATTTGGTTTTGTGGATTCAAACAGGCAGTTTGATCCTGTTGTATTTGTGGTATTAGTGCTTCAGAGCCCACCAGCCCCCACCTGCTTGTACCTGTTACATCACTGTCCTGGGGCCCTTCCCTTCTTGGCAGGGCTGTGGGCTTGGACTTGGGGATCAGGTTGTAGTCTGGCAGGTTACCTGACCTCCACAGGCCTCCTTTCCTCTTCTGTGGAATTGGAGACGGAGGCTCCTTCCACACTGACATGTTGGGATGAGTAAAGTGATGCAGCATTAGCAAGCTGCCTAGTGCCCACCCGACATGGCCGGGCACTTGGAAGCTGTGACAGGACACATCTTTAAAGTCATCACACAGTAGGTCCTGTGGGGTCTCCTGGGGTCCCCCAGCAGCAGAGCTGGGGCTTCCGAGCGGGGCAGTGGCTTTCCCAGCAGTACCGTGAGCAGAGCACATGGCTGGATGTGGAGCTGGGACCCAGTTTCTGGTTTCTCAGGCTTTGGCGGCTTGCTCCACCTCCCTGAGATCCAGAGTCCAGCCCGTACCCAGGGGGCTGCCCTAGAATCCACAGGGGCTCTGACCCACCAGGACTCATGGCCCCAAACCCACAGTCTTTGTCCCCTGTCTTTGGCTAGCCACCTGACGGAGGTGTGGCTGGCTGTGGTGGAGAACGTGCCCCTTACCCGGGCGATGCTCCGCGGGCTGATGGGCCGGCTGCAGTTGAAGTTCACGCCCAGGGCCAACGCCACCTCCAAGGCCGACATCTGGCGCCTGGCCGCGGTGGACCCTCTGATGGTGAGTCGCAGGGCAGGCCCTCCTTGGGGGCTCAGTTTGAACCCCGACACCTCTGGCCCTTCTTTCTGCAGATCCTGTGCACCATCTACCTTCTCATTGAGAAGATGGACAAGGACGACATGCTCCCGGGGCTTTTCCCGGACCTCGTCTACACCCTCCTGCTCCAGCTCAGCAGCAGCCAGGAGCCGGAGCCCGTGTCACCCGTCTTAAAGACATGGCGAGTCGTCCACGCGGGGACTCTCCCCGAGGAGATCAACCTGCAAAGGTACTCTTGAGGGTAGGGGGGCGTGGGGTGCAGAGCAGCAGGCCTGGGCTGGATGCGGCCTCATAGAAATCACTGGACTCCAAGTGTTACCTCCACCGGGAAGCCCTCGTCAACCCCTCCTGGTGGGGAGGCGTTCCTGGAAGCTAATCTTACAACCCTCCCTCCTATGAGTCCAGCACAGTATGGTTTTCAGAGTTTGAAGACTCACCCTCTCCCATGATGGCTCTTAGCCCCTTGAGCGAGGCCCCTCTGGTGTTGGGCACCCCTTCCCAGGCCTGGGTGTGGAGCTTGCCCCTCGGAGGTGTGATGAGTGCTCCTGGAAGGGCAGCCACGCCATGATGTGGCTTCTTCCAGGATCACGATCAAATCCATGCAGCTTTTGTTCAGGAGACTCAACACTGAGCCACTGCTTCACAGCCTGGAAGAGCAGGGCATGTGGGTGCTCCTGGAGAGCAGCGAGACGTTCCTGCAGGGAGTGAGCCTGCTGGCCAGGTGGGCACCCAGCTCCATGGGGCAGGGCGGTGGGGGCTTGCAGAGACATCTCCTTGCTGCAAGGACTGGGTCGTGGCTGAACCCCTCACTAGAGGGGATGGCTATGTTGTCCTGTGTCCCAGACTCGGTGGCAGCAGGGTGCAGGCATCTTTTCTTCCAGCCCTTCCAGCTCCAAGGCAAGAAAGTGAGGTCCAAGGCAGGTGGGGTGTGCCCGAGGTCACACAGGGCTTCTGAGCTGGGCGGGAGCTGGGAATTACTTCCTGGATCCTGAGCTCTTATGGGTGGCCCTCATTCTGGTGCCCTTTATTAAAAGGAGATGGAGGGGGGAGGGTATAGCTCAGTGGTAGAGCGTGTGCTTAGCATGCAAGAGGTCCTGGGTTCAATCCCCAGCTCCTCCATTAAAAAAAAAAAAACTTAATCCCCGTCCCCCAAATAAACAAAAGATATCTTTTTAAAAAAGGAAGTGGAAAGTCAGTACTGCAGTGACCCCTGACCTCTTAGGAGACCTGCCCCAGGGCGCCCTGCCCCAGAGCAGCTGTGCCCTCAGGAGCTGAGAAGCCCCCGCCCCGCGATGCTGTCCTCTGCAGGCTGTGCGTGTGGATCGCGGAGGGCTGCGGGCAGAGGCTGTCGGAGCTGGTGGTCAAGGGCATGGAGTCGAAAACCCTGAGCTGGCGCGTCAGCAGCACGGCAATCTGCGCGGAGGTGAGGCCGCGGCGTGGGCGCGGAGGGGCGAGGCGGAGGGCGACCCCCGGGGTCTCCTGGGGACTCTTCTCAGCGGCAGGCGCCCTGGTTCTGAGGGGCATTTGAGTCCGGTGGAAGGGGCAGGCGAACATCCCTCACTTGTGTGTTCATTCACTCATTCGCTCCTTCATTCATTCATCACACGAGTAATTTGGGGCAGGCACTACGGGATGCGGCCTGGGCCCTGATGCATAGCAGCTGATGGATGTGTGCCGTGGTGAGTGCGGCAACACCAGGGAGCCAGAGGCCGGCTTCCCTTTGGAAGGCGAGCCAGGCTTTGCCAGGCAGGAAGGGGTGGGGGAAATAGCCGCTGGGGCCCAGCTACCCTTCCATGCATTTGGGGCACTTATGGGGTCCTGGAGGAACTGGCCAGAAAACTCTTAGGAGAAATTCTGTTGGCTGCCTGATGCCCCGTGTGCCGTAGGGGCCAACCACTGACCGAATTCAGGGGACAGCAAACTTGCTCTATAAGGGGCTGAGGATTTTCAGTTTTGGAGGAACCAATTAGGTCTTTAGTTTTCTTAAGGTTTATAAAACACACGTGCACACACGCATGCCGAGGGCTCCCCGTCGACTTGAGGTCCTGGCATTTTGCGTGCCGGCCGGTAGTGACCCTCTGAGTCCCAGATGAGTGGAATCCATGCTTCTTGTGCATTCCTGTTCAGACACGGTGGGCAGGGCGGTTGCCCACGGTAGCTGCCCCCATCGTGTTAACTGAAGAAATAAATGACGAATGAGTGTGTTCACAGAGGTCACCCTCGCGAGCGTTTCTGATGTCTTTCCTTATCAAATCCTCACAGCGACCCCATGAGGCAGGCCCTGGTATTGCCGTCCCTTTACAGATGAGGAAACTGAAGCTCAGAGGGGTTGAGTGGCTTGCCAGGGTCCCACAGCTGGCCGGCGGAGTAGCCAAGAGTTGGTCCCAGGAGCTGGGGTTCAGAATCCTCTCCTCGTCACAGAGGCCACGCTGTGCAGGGACTATCATCACACGTCCCATTTTGTGGCTGAGAATTGGGCCTCTCTTGGGGATAATTGTGGAAAGTTCTCCTTTCCAGTTCATGAGCTACCCGATCCTGTACCAGGAGAAGCTGCTGAAGCCGGCGGTGCTGATACTGGAGAAGGGTGTGGACCAGGAGGATGAGGCCCTGCGGGTGCTCTCCCTGCGTGCCCTCGGCAACATGGCCCTTGGCGCCCCCAAGAAGGTCCTGCGCCCAACCCTGAGCCCAGGACCCAGGGGTGCAGGATTGCGTGTCCTGGTCAACCATGGGGCTGACAGCTCCCCGTGCTCTGACCCCCCCCCCTCCAGGTGAGGCAGTACCGGAAGCTCCTACTGAAGAAGTGCCTCTACTCCCTGAGGGGCCCCGCGAGCACCAGTGTGACCTCCGAGGGCATGGAGGCCCTGGCCAAGGTCTTGGCTGAACTGCGGGAAGGGGACATGGGGTCGGCCTTTGACGCCATCTCCGAGCGGTGCAGAACCTTCTTTGACAGTGTGAGTCCTCACTGGAGACTAGCTCAGCCCTGGCCCTCGTGGGGTCCTGCGAATGTCTGTGGACGCGTGGGCACTTCTAATCCCCTAAAGAAGAGGCGCCAACTGGGCTGCAGGTCTGACTTGCTGCCGGTGTATCTGTCAGTTGTTTGATCTTGCGATCTTGTAAGAAATGAAAAATCTTATTCTAGGACCCATGGGACCCTCCTCCCCTGCTTTTACTTCCTGGCAGCCACAGGTGCTCTTTGGGCACCTGTGACGTGTGGGGCGGGGATGCTGCTAGGCGGGCAGGTGCAGTCAGATCCAGCACAGCCCTCGTCTAGGGAAGAGGAGGTCACCCACACCAGAGTAATGCCCTGTCCCGAGCGCCCTGCAGGAGAGGCTCCATCCGGATGGAATGACCCAGAAGGCTTCGCAGGGGCCAAGCCATTTAAAAGGGTCCATGGAGAATGGCTGGGGTTTTGTTGGGCTTCTTGCTTCCCGAATTTCAGAACTTGTTTGTACATCTCGGCCACAGGAGAGCGAGCTGCTGCGTTTAAAAGCCTTCATCCTCTTCGGGAAGCTGGCAAAGGTGGTCAGGATTTCCAAGAAGCATTTCTTCAAGGAAGAAGTAAAGAAAGCCTGGGTCCCCCTCATGCTGCATTGCCAGGACCCCAGCTCTGAAGCAGCCCAGGTAAGACACAGCTGGGCTTTGTGTCTGAAGTCTGGGGCCTGCTGTCCCCAAAGGGAGCACGTGCTTGGGGTCCAATGGCTCAGCTAGCGGGGCTCCTCCCGCCGCACTCAGCCTCCCCGCCAGCCCAGAGCCCACAGTCTGCTGATTCCTCGCGCCAGGCTGGGGAAGGGACCATTCAAGACGCCCACAAACTGGCTTATTGAGGAGTCTCGGCTCTGTGGGGGGAACACGGCAGAGTTTCCTTCTTCTGTAGGCACCTTCACCAGTCGCCCTTTCTTCTATCAGATCCTGTAAGTTGCCACCACTTTGGGGAATTACGACTCAGTCCTGTTTAAAACACACCTTAAATCTCTCCTTACCAGCTCCCAGTGGGGCAGGCTTGTGCTGGGGCTGCCAGCAAAAGCGGAGGGGGCCTGGCTCTCTGAACATGATTCTCCCCCTCTCCCAGGCTCCTCTGTTGCTTTGGGGTGGGAGGAGGGGGAGACCCCCACCCCTCGTTTAACTGCTGCCTCCTCAGCTAACACTGGCTGGCTGGGGCCACATATGTATGGAACCCCCCGCCCCGCATTCCACCCAGGACCCTGATCTCTGTCTTCTCTCCTCCCTCTAGCCTGGGGAGAGGGGCTGGGGAGATGGCTGAGATTACGGGAGGTTCTGCCACCACCCAGTAAGCCATGGGGATACAGCTGGCCTCCAGTGAGGGGTTCTCAGCAGGGCACTTTCAGCTAGTGCCTTGGCCCCCGTTCTGGGGTCACAAGTCCCTTCAGTTCTGTTGCTGAGGGCTGCAGGTTTCCACGTGGGGCATGGGTCCAGGTAGCATCCTCAAGCTGACACACTCCGGACTCAGGGTGGCCCCCACCCCACCTCCCTGCCCCTGGCTCTACCTCGGGGACACTGTTGACCCAGGGCACGAAGTGTCACGTCTCAGAGACTCCACTCCTCACTAATCCACACTGCCCTCTGTCAGCAGCTCGCACTTCTTTCCTATTTCATGAGCAGCTGACTTGCAGGACAGGGCTTCAGGGAAGGGAGTGACCAGAAGGGTGACCGAGAGACTTTGATGAAGGAACCACAAAGAGCAGAGACCAACACGGGAAGGGGCTCGCCCGAGGGGGTCACTGCTGCCACTCCTGCTCCTGGACGAATAGATACCCCAACCTCTCTCCCTGCCCTCAATCAGTATCGCCCCGTGGCCTAAACCCACTGGAGGCCAGAGGCGGGGGCCTGGTTGCTGCGCACCGAGGGACGGGGAGAGCTGGGCAGGGGGGCCTAGGGGGACGAGAAAGCCCATCCCATTCTGATCCTGAGGCTCCCAGAGGGGCAGGTCCCCGGCAGGGTTGCTGAGGGCGCCAGGGTGCTGGCTAAAGGGGTGAGGGGGCTGCACCTGTCCCCAAGGGGCTTTTCAGTAAATGCATATGCAGATGTTATATATGCTGGCAGGGCTTGGGTCCTAGGCCCCCTGCCCGGGCCCACCAGCCCGCCCTTCTTTGGCTTCCTGAGGCTTTTTGGGGGCTGCCCTCCAGCTTATCTGTGGAACGCCAGCCCTGCGAGCCCCGCGCCTTGTGGGGAGCCCCTGGGTCTGCCTGACGCCTCTCCTGCTGTCCTGCCTGTCTTTCCAGGCCTGTGTGGCTACCATGTTCCAGTGTGTGCACTTCTGGGGCTGGAAGGCCCTGGAGAGCTCCTCGGACAAAAGTGATGCCTTTGCAGCCAAGGAGATGACCGTTTTCCAGATAACCCTGTGCTCCGTCCTGGTGAGGAAGCTGAGGGGGCATGGGCCCGTGGGAGGTGGCGGCACCTGTGGCTTGGGGCTTGGGATTTCGCTGCCACAGACTTCATCTTGTGACCCTGTGTTCACCTTCTAGACATGAGATGTCGAGACCAGCTCTGTCCACCAGAAACAGAATGCAAGCCACATACTCATTTTGAAGTTTTCTAGTAGCCATGCCGAGAAAAGTGAAACCAAATTTAATAGTAGATTTTATTTAACCCAGTATATCTAAATCGTTATCATTTCAACATGCAGTCAGTATAAAATTATTAATATAATAGTTTACCTTTCTTGGGTACTGTCGCCCATATCCAGGAAGCTCTTTACACTTAATTCAGATTAGCTACATTTCAGGTGCTCAGCGACCATGTGTGGCCAGTGGCTACCATATTGGACAGTGCAGGGTGCGGGCAAATGTAATCTCTCTGGGCCAGACAAGAATAACAGGGGGCTGAAGTCCTTAAGCTGTCCGGCTACTAATTTGCTGTGTGACTCTGGGATGCGCACTTGCCCTCTCTGGGCAGACCCTCCAGCATCTGACAGATGGGAACGTCCTTTGTGAGCAGTCAGTCTCCAGGACCTCATCCTTCACGGCTCTGAGTGACACTTGTTTTTTGCAGACGCAGAAAAAGCCTGCAGTTCTCTACAGCTTCTTGCTAGAAACAATGACCTATGTTAAAAGTAACTTGTCAAGGATCAGAATCGCTGCATGTAACCTGGCAGGTGAGCGGGCAGCTGTCTCCTGATGCAGGTGGGATATTGAAGGCCATTGGGTCGAACCCAGGTCTGGGTAGGGGCAGGTGTTGGGGCCCCAGGCTCAGGGGGAAGCTCCCTCTGTGTGTCCTATCCCACTGTGATCCTCAACTAGGCGTCCTCAACCCTGAACAGGTACCCTCATCTCCTGCTGCCTAACATTCGTGTGATGAGTATTTCCTGGCTATCATTTCAGGAATCATTATGAAGCAGATGCCTGCGCATTACCTGAAAAAGCTGGACTTCCCAGCGTTACGGAGTTGTAAGTAGTGGAGGCTCAATTATGAGTCAAAAGTGAGTCCACTGAGTTTATTTGGGAGCTGAGTGAAACTGCCCGAAGGAGAGTCAGCTGACGCTGGCTGTATTTGGGGGCCAGGGCACAGGTGGATGAACCTGCCCCCAGTGCTTTCTGCCCCTCCCCTATCACACTCATTGACGAAATGCCTTGCCCTGGTCCCCACGACTGATCCGCACAACAGCTGGGCTCTGTGGGTGATCTTTCTGCCCCTGTTGGAGAAGTAACGGAAACCCCCAGAGTTGGGAGGTGTGTGCGAAGACACCTGCCGTCTTCTGAATCCAAATACAGGGGATTGAAGTCCGCAGCCCCTGTGAGCCCCCTGCCCTGCAAGCCCCTCGCCTGCAGTTGGCTTCCAGGACCTTCTATCAGCTCACGCTGCGCAGGGATGGTGGAGGGCGCGGGCCTGACCTCAAGGGTCCCAATTCTCCTGTTCACGTTCACAGCTCTGCAGGAGCTACAGCTGGACTCAGATCCTGGGGTCTGGAGGGCAGCCCTGGAGACGCTCAGAATCTTGGATACCTGTAGTCAGCACCAGTGTTTGACTTCCCCAGAAAGAATTTCCGAGGTGGACTGAATGCAAAATGGAACTCCCCGGAGTTTCAAACCCCACCACCGCAGCGTGAACCATTTTGAATTTAGTTTGTAAGAAAAGCATTGTTCTCAAATAACCAGTGCCCCTTTCCCTCCTCCCATTGAAATAAACCTCCCTTGCTATTTGGAGAGTGGATTCCTGACTGCAAGGTGACAGTCTCCCAGAGCCAAGACAGTGGGGCAAAGGCCAACCTCGGTCCTAACAGGGGTGCTTCATCCTTGTGTCCTCTGCGTGTGCGTATGTCAGGCAGCCAGCCCTTCAGCCCAGAGGATCTGGACCCCACTTTGTGTCTTCGCCTGCGTTTCAGTCCCAGCCACGCAGACAGTGTGTTCACTGCCAGGCACTCTGCCGGGGTAGCCAGGCGAGCCCAGCTGCTGTCAGGCTTC